GAAGCGAGGGGTGAAGGTTGCAAAGCTTACGATGTTGAAGATTGGCCAATTGACTGATTTCGATGTTTCCCACCCAGAGAGATGGAATTCCTACATAGCACGGGTGGAGAATTACTTCCGAGTAAATCAGATTAGAGAAGACGGCCTGAAGGCAGCAACTCTTTTGTGTGCCTGTGGACAAGAAGCTTCTGACATCGCAGAAAATCTGGTGGCCCCTGCAGCTCTGGAATCAGTAACATATGCTGACTTGAAGAAAATGTTGAAGGAACATTTCCAGCCAAAGTTATCCATCATTGCTTGGAGGCACGCATTCAAGCAGAGAGACCAGAGGCTGGGTGAATCTGCTGCAGACTTTATTGCGGCCTTAAGGCAAGCAGCCAGACCTTGTGAGTTCAAGGATCTGGAAGAGAGGCTGCGAGATCGTTTTGTCTGTGGCTTGAGGAGCAGAGACTTACAACAAAAGATTTTTGCAAAAGAAGATGTCTCTTTCCAGGATGCATTGCGAGAGGTGGCAGCTGAGGAAGCAACAGGCGGGGCTGTGAAAGCCTTGCGCCTCGCCAGGAATCCTCCAGATACAGCTATAGTCCATCAAGAGGACACTCGAGAAGGATCAGAAGAGGATCCTGAAGAGGAGGTCGACAGACTTCACCAACCAGCTGAGAAGAGGCAGAAGGGACGTCCGGTCAAGGCCCCAGCATCTCTTCAATGCTTCAGGTGCAGAGGACGCCACAAGCGAGCTGACTGCAGGTTTCACTCCGCCATTTGCAGGGCGTGTGGCAGGCAGGGCCACATTGCATCCATCTGTTTGGGTCGCCAGAAGGTTCAACCTCGGGAAGAATTGCTTCAGAAAGGTACCAGGTCCCCAGCCAAAACAGGGTGGGTTTCTGTGCATCGCGCAGGAGCATTCTAAAAACAGGGACACACAAGCCCCTTAAGAAGAAACTTTCCATTAACGTAAGGTTGCAAGGGGTTCCCTTACTGATAGAGTTGGACACTGGGTCCGCTCTTTCCATTATTTCAATTAATACCTTTAAAAGGATTTGCAGCAGTAGTGGCCTTCAAGTTAAGCTCAGACCATCGAATCTAATACTCACTGATTTTCAAAATTCTATGGTGTATGTTAAGGGGGAGGCCACCCTTAGGGTACAGTATAAGGATTTTGAAGGTTCCCTAGATGTGGTAGTTGTTAGGGGTGAACGTACGAGTCTTATTGGACTGGATTGGTTCGAGGCTCTGGGAATCCAGGTAACTGGGCTGCACAGCTTGCAAACGCTGGGCCTTGCAGAGGTTTGCAAGGAGTTTGCAGATGTGTTTAGTTCAGAGCTAGGATCCTACAAGGGTCCTCCCATTTCGCTACAGTTAGACCCAACCATCATGCCCATCAGGGTTAAGCCTAGGAGAGTACCTTTTGCCCTCAAAGGTAAGATTGATGCTGAGCTGGACAAATTGCTCCAGCAGGGCATTCTAGAACCTGTGGATTCAAGTCCATGGGAAACCCCCATAGTAACACCTCTAAAGGCTAATGGGGACATACGTATATGTGCAGACTATATGCACACCGAATAAGGCGCTACAACAGCACGCTTATCCAGTGCCTGTGGTAAGTCACATTCTGGCCTCCCTCAAGGGGGGGCGCATCTTTGCGAAGCTTGACCTGGCACAGGCCTATCAACAGCTACCTGTTGATGAGGCAGCTGCAGAGGCCCAGACTATTGTAACTCACAGGGGGGCCTTCAAGGTCAAGAGACTGCAATTTGGGGTAAATGTAGCCCCTGGCATATTCCAAAGTGTCATGGAGAGCACACTTCGAAGTATTCCTGGGGTCTGTCCCTACTTCGATGACATCCTCATTGCTGGGGAGTCATCTCAAAATTTAGCAGAAAGATTAAGGGCTGTCTTGCTTCGTTTTCAAAAAGCAGGCCTTAAACTAAAGAAGGATAAATGTAAGATAGGAGTCACTTCTACTGACTTCTTAGGATTCAGGATTGATGCTCAAGGCATTCACCCTGCTGAAACCAAATTGCAAGCTATCTAGAAGGCCCCAAGCCCTAAGTCTAAGAGTGAGCTGCAAGCCTTCTTGGGGCTATTAAATTTTTACCATGCATTTCTCCCAAATAAAGCTGCAGTGGCAGAGCCATTACACAGGCTCTTAGACAAGCAGGCTCCTTGGCAGTGGACTAAAGTCCATGACAAGAGTTTCAATGAGGTTAAGGCCTTGCTCACTTCTAATGCTGTTTTAGCGCATTTCAATGAGCAACTGCCTGTTTGCATCGCATGCGATGCATCTCCTTATGGGGTGGGAGCTATACTTAGCCATCTGAAGGCTGATGGGACACAGGTCCCTGTGGCCTATTAGTCAAGGACTCTGTCTTCTGCAGAGCGGAATTACACTCAAATTGACAGAGAAGCCTTGGCCATAGTAGCTGGCATTAAGAAATTCATGATTTCTTATATGGCCGCCATTTCACAGTCTATACTGACCACAAGCCTCTGCTGGGTTTGTTTACCACCAACAAACAGACCCCACGTATCATTTCTCCTCGTATGCTGAGATGGTCCATTTTCCTGTCAGCATATAACTGTACATTAGTTCACAAACCAGGAAAAGAAATGGGTCATGCAGATGGCCTGAGCAGATTGCCCCTGAACCAATTAGAGCCAGATCCTGCTCCAGCAATTAATATTCTGTCCATTCAGAAGTTGCCTGAGTCTCCTCTCTATGCTAGGGACGTGGCTGCCGAACCTGCCACTGATCACACGCTTACATGCGTGCTGACATGGGTGTTGTCAGAATGGCCTGATAAGTGCCCTGATACTGAGTTCCAAAGCTTCTGGCACAAGAAGCATGAGTTTTCCACTTTCAAGGGTTGCCTGTTATGGGGTAGCAGGGTAGTGATCCCAGCCTCATTGAGGTCTAGAGTCTTGACCTCTCTGCATGAGGGACATCCTGGTATAGTCAGGATGAAAGCGTTTGCACACAGCCATCTTTGGTGGCCTGGGCTCGATAAAGTCATCGAGGCCCAGGTGCACGGGTGCCAAGTATGCCAACAGTCTCGGCCTGAAATGCCTCAGGCCCCAGTACATAGGTAGGAGGAAACTCAAACCCCATGATCTAGGGTGCATATAGATTATGCTGGGCCCCTTCAGGGGCAATTCTTCCTGGTTGTTGTTGATAGCCATTCCAAGTAGCTAGAGGTTGTTCCTGTTTCCTCCACTACTACTGCCAGGACCATCCAGGTGCTAAGAGGAATTTTTGCATCACATGGTCTTCCAGATGTCCTGGTTTCAGATAATGGCCCTCAATTTACCTCTTCTGAGTTCCAGGCTTTTCTTCAGACCAACCTGATATGGCATGCAACATCGGCTCCCTTCCATCCATCCTCCAACGGACTGGCAGAGAGAATGGTGCGCACCACCAAAGATGCCCTCAAGAAACTGACTTACGGTAACTGGCATCACAGGTTAGCAGATTTCCTTCTTGCACATTGCACCACACCATGTACAGCCACAGGGAAAAGCCCTGCTGAACTCCACTGGGGTCGCCGCCTCATTACTAAACTGGACAGGCTGCACCCTGACGAGGTGGCTTCACAGGTGTCACAACTGCGGGCACCTAGGAGACTCCAGGTGGCTGATCCAGTTTGGTAAGAAACTATGGGCCTGGACATCTCTGGGTTACAGCTGTGGTCTGCAAGGTCTCGGGGCCGTTGTCATACAAAGGTGCCTTGGGTGACGGCCGCGTTCTTTGAAGACACATAGACCAACTGCGTTGAAGACTGGACTCGCACCCTTCTGCTCCTGGCTCTGCTCTGGGGGGGGAGGACCATAATTTGCATTCTGGGTCACAGTTTCCCAGGACTAACAGGCCCTCACTAGCTGCTACTGAGTCTGTTTGGGATTCATCTCAAGGTTCCACAAGTGCTCCTAACAGGAATTCACTGGATAGGGGATCATCCCACACATCCATAATTACTCCAGACAGGGAGTCACACCGGGGGTATCCACAGTATTCACATATGTCAGATAGTGCTCCAGACAGAGAGACTGACCGGGGGTATCCACACAAATCACAAGCAGCAAGAGAAAAGGAATTCCATCGGGGCGCTTGCCTAATTCTGCAATTGCTCCCACAAGGAGATCTCCAGCAAAGGGGGTTGCTATGGAGGTGACTCCTGACTCTGGCACCTCGGGCACGTGCTTGGGGGCCACAGATTACTGGGGCACTTTCGCTACCCAGCCCTCTCCATCTGCTAGCCTTGGGCTCGAGGGACAGTGTTCCCAAGAGGGATCCATTGTGGACTCGGGGACTTCCACCCCTCCAAGATATGCTGGCTTGGACTTAGAGGGTCCAGCCAGCCAGCAGCTGGGTGGTCAACCAGGTATTTGAGGCAGCAAAGTCCTGGCCTGCCTAGCCTGGTAGGCGAGAAGCTAGGCCAGGCACCCTCACCAGGGTCACCTGGGGATTTAGGGCATTGCTGCAACGCCCTGGCCTGCCTAGCCTGGTAGGCAAGCAGGTGGGCCAGGCAATCTATCTGGGCCTTAGAAAGTCGCACCAGGCCAAGTGCCCACCCAAACATCTGAGAGACTTTGTGAAGTTGCTGTCAAATCATGAGGGACCTGTTCATGAGGCCCCTGAATAACGGGAGTAACTTGTGAGTAGATTATTTTGTATTATTTTTTTTATTTCGGATACATTTATTGTATTAATCAATATTGGAAAGGGTTTGCCTGAGGGCAGACTCAAGTAGTCCACACTCCTTGCATTTGAATAATGCAACTGTATGCCACTCTTCCCAATGCATGACGTACATGAGTGTACGCGAAGTATGTTCCATCTAGGGGGGAGGGGTATTGTGTCCTGAGCCTGCAAAAGCAGGCTTGGGACGTTGCACTGGTTCCGGGCATTCCAAAAGCTTTCTAAAAGCTGCCCGGGGACCAGACAGAGCGGCGCCAGCCTTGTGCGCATGTGCAAGGCGCAAAAATGCTCTGTTCCTATTGGTTGACATTGTCCGGGTTTCTGGCCATATAAAAAGGCCTGCATGCCTTTTGCTTTTGCTTGGTTGTTGTAGAAGGTGAATAAAGTGTTTGTTCAGCATCGCCATGTGTTTTCATCATTTGCACACGAATGGAGTACACAACAGATTTCACTGGCTCTAGTCTAATTTACAATAGAAATAATTTGTTACTTAACTATTAGCATTACAATATTACTCATAAAGTAAGCAGTATTGCCTCTTAGATTGCTGAAACTTGTTTGTAGATACTTTCAAAGAAACAGCCATGCTTATTTTTTGGTATAGTGGCAATTCATGAGGTGTAGTGCAAGACAATAATATTACAGCTACAGACAAGTCATTGTACTAATGAGATAAAAACAAATTAAGAATATGGAGACAATCCATATCTTCAAATCATAATTAATATTACGTATTTTAACAAACTTGATTACAAACTATGAGAAAAATGTATGTGTGTGCATGCGGGGGTGGGGGTGGAGAGTGTTTAAATATTTGATGAGATTGTCTATACCAGTTTTTTTCAGCCCTTGAAGAAGAAGGAGAGGTGTCTAATAATGCTGTATTCTCTGTAGGATTCCCACAACCCTGAATACTGCCCTACAACCAGGATGTTCCCACAGTGTTTAGGAATCATGAGAACCTTCCCATAGTTCCTGTCAGTCCAGGCTCACTTGGTGTACTGCATATAGGAGAAGAATGTAAAAAAAAAAAATAACTCTAATTTGAATGGCCTTTTTCTGCTCAATCAAGGCCCAATAACCTAGGTTACTTGGCTCACATATATATACAGCGATACCTTGGGATTTTGTCTTCTAAGTGTTTGGTCAAAGCTGCAAGTGAAGACCTTTGGAGAGGATCTCTGGACTTTTCAGAGTATGTGGGTTACACACCTTCTGTGTCTGTAAAAATCTAAATTGTCTATGCATGGAGACTTTGCACTATTTCAAACAATTCTCTACAAATGTGAAATATTTGCAGTCAGTACCAATTAAAAAAAATTCCAGTCTTATCAATTGGGACTAAAAAGGCATCTTAACGTTCATATTATCAACTGTAGATATTAATGATAAATTCAGATATTCTGCTTGGCGCATCATTTCTTTAGACCCTTGGGTACTTTCCTTTCCCATTTCATCCCTTTTTTTCAAGCCCAAATACACTGAGAAATGAAATGGCAAATTAAACAACAAATTAATTTTGTTCTTTTCTTTAAAGCTACTGAGAGAAATGTAAAGCTTGAGCACTGGAATAATTATCACTTTTGTAAGAACATGCTCAACATTTTGTCCACTGACAATGTTCTCTTTTCCTCATCTGAAATTTGTTTCTCCTTTTAAAAGGCTGGTGGGAACAGGTCAAAGGTCACCCTTGAGCTGCCAGCAAATGGAGTGAAAAATTTTGGACAGTTCCCCTTTGCTTGGATTAAGAATTCTGTTCTTTCCCTTTGTGATGGTGATACCTTCTCATTTGGAAGGCTTGCATGTAGCAAATTAGTGTTCTGGCCTCTCTTTCTAATTACTTCTTCAGGTGCAACAGCTGCTGGGGAAGAACAAGAGATACTTCCCTTTATCTAATGGCATCTGTCAAAAATAGCCTTGCAAAAAATACTGTTGTTTTTATAGGAAGCAAAGATATGTAAAAAAAATAAAAATAAAATAAAGGTGGGAACATTCTCATTTTTTTTAAATTGATACGTTGACACTTCAACTTTAAAATCATCATCATCATTGGGTTTACTATGTGTATCTTACTGATAGAATTGCATGTCTTTGGTGGTAAATGTGAGGCCAGGTTTTTTAAAAATTCTTTAACATTAAAATTTTGGGACACTATTGTTTGGGGAAGGGGGGCTGTTAAAGGCAAATTGCTTAAGTCCATGCAGAGGGTAAAGCATTGTTATAGTCTTTTCAAATCTGCACGCACAAAAAAATGGCAGCAACATTTTCTCTTTGAAATCTGATGACTTGATAATGATAAAGGCATCCATGTTATTTCAAAATCCTTCCAACTCGTACTCCCTACATTAGGCTGAAAATGTTGTCTTTGTTCCCCGGTAATGCCATGACATTACCAATTAGGGCCCCCACAATTTTTGGAAACCAAATACCCAAGGGACCTTGCCTTCCTCCCTTTTTAAAAATATTACCACCAGCTGCAGCACTGCTCCTTGTTCCTGATGAAGAAATTCAAGCTCAAAATTAGATACTATATTGTAGTACTAGATCAAGCTGCCATCTTTCAGATTCACTGAACTACTACTCCCATTATCCCTAGCAGAAGATAGTATGTTTTTGTATTACTATTGTTATTGTGAGTAGCAAATATTAAAATAGTGTGCTGCATTACAACTAGATTAAAGGTTTGTGAAATGTTCCCCGGGCATTCTTATCCATCCTTCTATAGTCTATAGTACGAAGGAAACAGGTGAAAGGATAATACATGTAAACCCCTGACAATGGAAATTGTGTTGATGTATAATATTTGGTTTCTGAGACCACAGGGTGCATTTTCTCTGTGGCAAATGCAGGCACAAAATGGGTTGCTCCTCATTAGAGTCTTCCATGGGGGGAAAGATAGCAGGCTGCCTGCAAAATTGACCAAAGGATTCAGTTAACAGTCTGTGATTGGAGCAGAAATGGAGATTATAGTTATAATATGTCCTATTAATTCATTTCTAAAAAAAAAAAAAAGAACCAGGAAGAACATGGGCTCTTAAATTCATGAAATGGATTGCCTATATACTTATGGTCAAAGTACTGGAAATAAACAATATAGGCAAGAGTTCTTAATGCAATAAGACAATATGACTCAGCCTGGTAGAACAAAACAAAAACTAGCAAAACAAAATCACCAAGAAAGTAAGTGTTCCATTTACTTATTTAATATCAGATTGGGAAAATGTAATTTGAGATGGACAGAAAATAAGTCCCCAAAGAAAACCTATTTATTCCTAATCTGAAATCTTCTGAACCAAATGAACTGCATCCAAAAACTGAAACCATTATTTCTTGGTGTCTGGGTAAGCCTCTATGCATTATTTTTTAGAAATTGTAGAGAAAACGTGATGTTACCAGATATTTGAAGGAGAACAAATATTGTCCTTTATCTTCAAAAAGGAGAAAAAGGAGAATCTGGTAACTATAGAACAGGTATTTCTGACACTGCTATCTGCGAGGTTTCTGAGCAGATGAAAAAATAATCAATCAATCTGAAAATAGTTACTACTTGAAGTCAGTAAATGTGTCAAGAACAATGCCAGATTAACTTCATCTACATTTTTATATGGAAATTTCCTTAGTATATTGTTGTAATGCTGTGTCAATAAATATATCTTGATTTCAACAGAGCATACAGTAAAGCACCCCATGGCAAAATTATAATATTATGTTACTTATATTAGGCACAGGAACTTGTTTAATTAATTTTTGTTGACTGGAGCTAAACAAGTTTTAGCATGCAAAATACGAAAACAGGATTGGTCTAAGAGGGCACCCATGTTTTCATTTCTAAATACTGACTGGAATTCACTAGACTGTTTCTGTGCTTCAAATTTGTGATGAATAGAAATTCAACAACTGAATTGCCCCGTTGCTACACCTATAGACATAGTAAAAATTCTATCTGTTATGTTGTTAACACTGAGGGGAGCCATGTCTGCTTCTGTATGATCCCCTGCAGAGCTACCAGCTGGCTTACTGTGTATAAAAAAGAGAAGGTATTGCTTCTTACCTATAGTACAATAAAGAGCATTGTGTGCAGATTGACTTTATTAGTGAAAGAGCAACTACAATAGCACCACAAGTACATGGTACTACAAAGAAAGAAAGTCCCAGTGAGACAGTGTGATTTCTAAACTGTGCTGAATCCTAGGTCTACTTAGTTCTAAATGAAACACTGCTTTCAATATATAGCCCAGTGAAATGTTTGCCTGGTCAGTGTATGTACTAAGAATGGCATGCGAGTGAGTATGCCAATTGTTGTGGGAGGTCCTTCCTCTGCATTCAATATTAAAAAACTAAAACTGCCCAACAGGCAGAAAGGAAGGAAGTATTGAAAAGTGGTGGATGAAGGAGAAGTCGAAGAACTTTCCATTTCTCATCTACCATAGACTGGCATTAGTTTTCCAAGCCAGGACTTTTTGGAGTCTTATTTTCAAGGCTGATCTAATGCGTGGGATGGAGCGATGTGGTGTGTCCAGGCTCTCCGATCCTTTAATTCAATGCTGCATATGCAGTCATCCTCACCAGGAATGTTCTTGTCCCAGCAAAAACTATAAAAGATACCCCCAACAGCTGCTTCCATGGCAGTTCTGGCTTAATCAAAGTCAAGCATTCTGTGATGTTGTCTTCCTTGTGTGGCACCAGTTCCACCAAGAGAAGAAATGCTAATGGCCACACAACAGCTTCCCCTTTCCCCCTTTTCTTCAAGGCTGGCTCCTCAGCCTTGCCTCCAGCAGAAAACTTGTGATCAGTGCATGGCAGACAGTGGCTGTGCTGAGCAAGCGTTTTGGAGTCAGCTTCCAGAAAATATATGGGGATGGAGTTTTTGTTTTAATAAGTTCAGCTTCCTTTTATAAAAAGAAAAGAGAAATGTTTTTCTTCTGACAAGACATCTTTTCCTTCACCAAGCTTTCCTTTTATTTATAAGTTTGCTCTGTCCGTCTTGTAGTTTCTCTCTCCTTTTTTCCAGTATTTCCATTCCTCCTCCTCACTTTTTCTCTTATTAATTTTATCCTTGGCTGACTGAACTTTTTAGAAATATCTATCCAGAGCGCGTTTAGTTCCTTCTCCCTTCTAGTCCTTATGATAACAGAATACTAAAAGAAGCTTGCAGTTCAGTCAAGTGACACCTTTTCTCCTATAGTTTATGAACGTCATCAATGCACATTATTATAAGATACAAATTCTCTCCTACTTAATGATTTCAAAAGAAATGCTGTGCAATGTCACATTTATCTAAAACTATTATTGTTCGTGCTTTAAAATGAAAAGGCTTACTAAAAATCCTTAAAGTGTTCCATAGAGAGATGCAGGCCGATGTCCTTTGGCTGGGGATTATGGAAGCTGAATTTTAACCATGACACCAGATCTTCTTAAGAATAAAGTAAAGAAGACAAAGAACACAACACTCTGGTTGTTCGCTCAGAAGTAACTGCCAGTGGATTCAGCAAGCTTGTTCCTAGGCAGAAGTGTTCACAAAGAAGATTAAAAAAAAAAGTCAAGATGGCAGTCGTGTCCACGCAATTACAAAATGTTGTCCAAATAATAATAATAATAAAGTTGGAAGGGGCCTTGGAAGGCATCTAGATGTTCTTGAGCTGTAGCTACTTGGGCATAGGGTTGCAGGCAAAAGGTGAAACAGGTGCTACTTATTTGAGAAGAAATCACTCCATTGGTGCCATTGGCAACTATCAGCACATAACTAGGAATTCTCTTTGAAAAAGACTGGTCTAGATAAAATATGGGGTTGGGGCTAGAATGCATTTTTTTGATTTAGACCATATCTAGTTCTTCAATAATTTCCTCCATACTGTAGTATCCCAGGCATAATACAGATCAGATTAGACCAGGTCCAAATCTGCTTAGATCTAGAGAATTGTTGGAAGTATCAAATCTACAGCGTTCAATGGAGGTTATAATATACAGTACACATTATACCTGTATTTTATTTATTTATTTATTTATATTTATTTTACTTATTTAATTTATTTATTAAACTTGGATATTGCCTGTCTTGCCAGAGGCGACTCTAGGCAGCTTGCAGACATTCAATTAAAATGTACTACAAAACACTAAAACAATAAATAAAGCTCATACATTTAAAATTCAATTAAAATTAAATTCACTAGAATGGAGGGAGCAAAGTGCGCACAGGAAGGAGGTGTTATCTACTCCATTAGTCACTTCCAATGGCCACACCTCCATTGGGACGCAGGCTAATTGGCGCAGCCATGTCTTCAAGGCCTTTCAGTAGGCCAAAAGGATGGGTGCCGATCTCACCTGGGGGGGGCACGATGCTCCAATATTTGTAAAGATTTTGTTCTCCTTGTGAAAATTTTGCAAGCATTTTTTTTTTCTGGGAGGACTCTGTATCTCTTTGCAGTATATTAGCTACAGGGAGTCCTTGACTTATGACCGATCATTTAGTGACTGTTCAAAGTTACAACGGACCCTGAAAAGGTACTTATGATCCAGAGTCAAAATTCCAGTGTCCAGGTCTCCCTCCCTGTGGTCACATAACACTCGGCAACCAGCCTCCATTTATGGCCACTTGCAGCATCCCGCAATTACACAACCACAATTTATGACATTTTTGCCAGAAACCAATATTTACTTCTGGTTTCTGGCAAAAACACCCCATAGAAAACAATGGGCTCACTTAATGACTGTGGTATTCGCTTAATGACTGCTGCTTTCGCTTTACAAGTACCACGTTCACTTAATGACCACAGCAAAAAAGGTCATAAAATCAGGCGTAGCAATGTGACTCACCTTGTGACCATCATGACTTAACAACCAAAATTGCAGGATGAATTACAGTCAAAGATTAGCTGTACTGTTTCAGGACAATCTACGACCTTCCAGATTTTGTCAGCTTCCATTCCTGCCACACCTCTGGAGGCCTGATGGGACTGGAGTTCACCCTTCGAAGGACACTTACTGCTTCTCCCTAAATAAGACTGACCACATTTGAGCAGTGAGTAGACAGCTGTTGTGAGATGAATACGCTCCAGAAATCCTGTCAATTAAAATATCACTCTCCCTTCAGAATTCTGCTCGATACTATTGAAGTCTTGCACTCCCAATTCACTCCCAGCCCGGCAAGTTTTTGATTACCATTCTGTGAGAACTATTTCAAACATCTGGGAGAAACTGAGCCCCCTTTCCAGCATATTTGAAAAAGAGGCACACGAAACAACACCGAGTGAAAGAACTGGCTGTAGCAATTTCTCCCACCCTGACCGGTTTTCATCTCCAGATCTCAGTTCAGATTACCAATTCATTTCCCCTTCCCTTCTGTTTAATCCTGGTCTTCTTTTAGATCTGTCCTTTTAAAATTTCTGACCATATGGCTCTTCAGAGCTCACCTATCAGTCACAGCTTGCAAGTCAGGAAGGAAGGAAGGAAGGAGCGTGATCGTTTCACGTTTCCTATCAAGAAATTCTTTCCCAATTGTATATTTTTTTTCCAATTTGACATGGATACATCTCTGACATTTCAGCTTTATTCTCTTCTCTTCCCTACCACAAAAAACAACAACAAATAAATATAAACTAGAACTAAAGACAGAAAAGCTATTTTAAAAAATAGCATGAAAATAATATATGGGCCAAAAATTTAAAAAAGGAGGTGGGAGGATGAGCCGCAAGGAAAATACTAGCTCCTAGGCTATTATAAATGGAGGAACTGGAAACTGTTCCATTTTACAAATGGGATATTTTAAACCTAAAAAAGGAGCCTATGTCTTTATGCATGTGTATCTGTATGTACAGACAGTGCTTTATTTACCAACGGGATATATTCTAGAGCAGACATGTCAAACTCACAACGTCACGTGACGTCGCACGACGTATCAGAATCTTTTCCCCATTGCTGGCAATGGGGTGGCCGTGGTTTCATCATGACATGTCCAGCCCACGGGTCGGCAGTTTGACACCAGCCCGCGGATCGGCAGTTGGGTTTTTTTTGGGTATGTTGGGCTTTAGTTTCTTTTTGTGTGAAGAGTGATGCAATTAAAGAGAAACTTCCTGACAGTGAGGACAATTAACCATTGGAGCAGCTTGCCTCCAGAAATCGTGGGCACTCCATCACCGTAGATTTTTAAGAAGAGGCTAGACAGTCACTTGTCTGAGATGGTATAGGTTCTCCTGCTTGAGCAGGGGGCTGGACTAGAAGACCTCCAAGGTCCCTTCCAGCTCTATTCTATTCTAATATCTGCATGCCTCCAAACAGCAGAAAACTATACTACTATATTAATGTTCAATAATTATGGCCAGAATTTGCTCTGGGGGCCACAAACAGTTATTCTATAACTATCAAAATTCTATAGAAGCCCAACAAGTCAGCTGGACATGAATTTAAAAAAATGTAAAATAACTAATTATTCAATTAACTAAGTCGTGCTTTATTTTTTAGAGAGTTTCCTTCATCTAAACATTCATTTACTCCTCTCTCATATTAAAGAAGTCCTCATTTGGGGACATTGTCTTCCAATAAGCTAACTAGGTTTGCTTTTAGGTTTTTTTGGGTTTTTTTTAATCTTCCTTCAGGAATCTGGTGGCCTCCCACTATTTGACAGACTAATAATGCTGGGAAGGGTCAGATTTACTCTATGGGGATCAAGTTAGATAGGGACTTTATAGTACCTAGATTAGGCTGTGTGATAATCATGATGCTTCCAACCAAAGGGAGGGGCTATAGACAAGGCGGAATAGCTGGTGCATAGTTTTTGAAACTGTTTTTTTTCCCTCAAAAGCAGCTCCTGAAAGCAAACAGTTTGACATCCTTAGAGAAAGAAAACAAAATAAAATTCCCAAGACTCCTCTGATCCTTACACACATTGCACATATACCTGCAGATACACACCAGTATGTGAAAATGGATTCAACTAAACAAAATTCAGCTAGTATTGCCAAAAGGGTGAATTGCAATTATCCTAGGTAAAAGGAAAAAAAAATGTTTGAAAAAGAAAATACAAAGAGACATTTGCTAAACAATTTCAAAGTCCAATAAATTTGCTCTTTGGCACAATTGTAGGCATGGCTTTTAGATTTTGATAAGGTGTATTTTTAGAATCTCTGTCCTCTAAGTCTCCAATCCCGCCTACTTTTGCCAACCCTCTCAAATAGCATCACTGAATTTAGAGTTGTGTGCTGCCAAAAACATCTGAATCACACTAGGTTGGACTTATATCCCTGAGTGGAGGGGAACTATATAAAGGTTACAGGTTTGTGTATCAGAGCATTTGGGATATGTTGCAGTGCATACAGACAAAACAAATTGGATGTTAACTCTGCTGTGTAGCACTGGTTTGAAGTTATGGAGGCCACTTGGATTTGCTGTTCTCAATCCCCACTGCAGTGAATCCACATCATTGCTCAAGGCCACTATTGTAACTTCTAGCTTCTCTAAATGAATCCATACACAACCAAGACTATTTTTCTTCCATGGTACTGGTACCCCACTCAAAGCACAAAAATTGGCGTGCAGCATGGTGCTTCCATCTGTGATACTACCATCCAAGAAAGATTATGAGAGGCAGTATTCCACGGATTTTCTTTCCTCTGCCATGATACTGGTTACGATGCCAGTAAGAATGGTACTGTAGCTCTTATCCTGCCTCGCAGTATATCCATTGTACTTAGTTGTTCTTAGAGTGCCCTGAATGTTATTCTGGAATATATTTGACAAGAGCATAATATCTCCTGGTATCTTACAAGGGAAATTGCAACTTTTCTTTTTCATCTTGACTTGTATCTCCTCTCACAACCCACCGGTAAGCACGGGGATGATTTTTTTTACTTTTTTCCTATTTTTAGACATCCAAAAGTAAGTTTATTGCATTTTTAACACACCGATTTTGCCTGTCACTTTACTTTAGTGATTGAAAATTGCACAACCAATTTTCATTCAAGATGGCAGCCATGAGGGTCCAATTGAGCTCCACCTGGTTTTTTTTTTCATATGTGATGTAAATAAAAAGGGATGGACCTTCAATTGCACCCTAGTGGCTGCCATTTTCCCTTTTTGACCATACTCTGTGGATACCCCTGATATTTTGCTTTCAGATTTCTGCCAGACAATGTCCTAAATCCCTAAAAAGAAACTGGGAATGCCTTCTGTGCACCATTTTCTAAAGCTGTGGTACCTGAAGCCTTTGTGTGATTCCAGATTAATCTGACAGGCTTCATAAGACAGCTTTCAATATATCTTGGCAAATAAAATTAGAACACTATCACATATCCTGATGTGGCTTTTTTATTTGATTTACATATCTTCCCATCTCAAATAGATGTCTCAAAGTGCTTACCATAAAATAAACACAAATAAAGTCATGATGTAAAATAAAAAAACATTTAACAGCTGAGCATTTTATTGATGAAGTCCAAATTAGTTCTCATAGTCCATGTGTTTTTGAATATATGAATGAGAATTGTATTTGTACACCAGCTAGTAACATTTTTTTCCATCCTGATAATAACTGAGTAATGTAAGCTAGGTCAAGTGACCCAGGACTGACTAAGCAGGGATCTGAACATCCAAAGTACAGCCTTCTGTGTCTTGGGTTAAAAAAATACTAAAGGACAGATTCAGCTTTGTAGCAAAAGAGAAGAAGGAAGGCAGGCTGACTGTTCATATATCATTAGATACACTTTGGCCATGATTTTGTATAAATCATTTGAAGTTTATGTTCTTAAACTATTTAACCAACTGAGCTGAACATTATATTTGTTGTTCAATACATTAGAAGGGGCCACATTGGGAAATGCTGTTTGGCTGTGAGCAACACAACTGTGCAAGGGATTTGAGCTGTTCCTGGTGGAGAGGCACAATGAAGGGAAAGTCGAAAACTGAATTCCAATCTTAATTTTTAGGTTGTGTGTGTGTGTTTTAGCAAGTTTACCAAAGAACAGAAAGCTATTTCTGTGTTAGTTGGTATTAGGAATTTTAATTGCAGTTGAAATCTACTTGGGATACAATAAAGTGTTTTCACGGTAATATCGCTGGCTCTCCTTGCACATTTTTTTCTGAAGCAACATACGTGTTGAAGGAAAAGTCTTCATCATGGTTCAGTCCAAGCTGGGGATAAATAACATGGCGACTGCTTTAGAAAGAAGGTTGCAGTTTCTTGAAGAGGAGAGCCAGACAGGAAGATGGCTCTGGAAGAAAAAGGAGAGCATTTGTAAGGAGTGGGTTTTTATACCCTCTGGGGCTTTTGTTTGGAGTTGTTTCCTGTTCCTGTTTGAGGCTTTGTATTTCCTATGTCATGTATTCTGACCTGAGTCTGGATGTGCTCTTTGGCATCTGTGGGTTAATCCTATTATGTCCTGTCTTAGAGTTTGGGTGTGGGGTATTTTAGGTATCTTTGTCTTCCTAAACCTCTAGCTTCAATCTTCCTGAATGGATTACAGTATTTACATCTGCATTTCTATAGAGCTGGTTTTTGCTTGGGGGAGGGAGACTTGGGGCTATTAAGAAAACTGGGCATGTTTTTCTGCCTCTTTAAGAATCTTTGAGGAAATATATTTTTCTGCCCTTTTAATATTTCCTTCTCTGGGGGGCTGACTTCCCACACATGGTTTCACATATGCTTCCAATTATTGTTCTGGGCCAAAAAAAAAAAAGCTTTCGGGTATTTTTTTCCAAAAACTCTTTTCTCCTTAGGCAAGTATCCCAGAATAGAAAGTACATTTTTCAAAAGTGCTCAGGAGTAGAAATTCCCAATTATACATCACACAAGCTATTTACAGAGAATTGTGGTTCCTACATGCTATCAGAACAAACCTCTGCTCTTTCACAACTAGCCTCAGACATAACTCTACTGTCAGACAAATGTGGAAGTGGGAATATGGAGAAGAACATAAGATGTAAAGCATGTCATTATACAAGGAGGCCCTAATTCCTACCAAATGATTAGCATGGCAGAAAGGAAGTTGGCAGGTTTTGCTTACTAGCTTCCCATCAGGGAAATAAACTGAGCTCTTCCAGGCATTCTATGGCCCTCACTTGGCAGGTAGAGAACAGGACTCCCAGGAGCCAAAAGGTGTACCTTTGTCATTGTTTCTTACAGAAAAAGACTGAATCCTGCATTCTGGAGATGACAGGAAGTGAAGTTCTCATTCCAATGCCCTCATCTTTCCTTTACCTTCTTTTGGGCAGGGCTAAATTCCTCCTTACCAGTGCTATTAATACACTAGGAAGAACTTATTTAAGAGTAGCATTAGTCACTCTCAGTTTTGAGCAATGGGTCTTGGCAATCCC